TGGGTCCTCATTTTACCCACCTCAGAAGGACGGAAGGCTGAGTCAACCTGGAGCCTGGGAAATGTTTTCAGCGGCACGTTGGCATTTGCCCTCCCGTCCTTCCAGGATGCTTCCTCAATTCCCACTTTCTTGATATTCCTGGAAGGGCTAGCTGCTTTTGACCCTTTCGGTCCACGCAAGGTTGGTCAGATGCTGCCCCCTGCTGAAACAGCCCTCTTAAAAAAAGGAAAGACTATAGACCAGGAAGGGTCAAACTTGCGATGACATGTCCTCGTCACACAACATATCACCACTTTTCTGCCCCCTCACAAAACCGGGGTGGACGTGGCCAGCAGTGTGACCCATCTGGCCCGTGGGCTGCGAGTGTCACACCCCTGCCATAGACAGAGGCTGGCCTCTCATATCACTGATGAGACTTGTATGCTGCTTTACCGGCGAAACCTGAACAATGCAGGTAGTCCTTGACTTATAGCAGTTCATTTGGTGACCGTTTAAAGTTCCAACGTCACCGAAAAAAGGGATTCACGACCCTTTTTCACATGATATCCCCGTGGTCACGCGATCAAAAGTCAGGCGCCTGGCAACAGACTCATATTTGTGACGGTTGCCGTGTCCCGAGATCATGTGATCATCTTTTGTGACCTTCTGACAAGCAAAGTCAACGAGGAAAGTGGTCTCCCTTAACAACGGGGTTGCTAACTCAACGGCAGTGGTTCACTTAACAACCGTGGCAAGAAATATTGTAACATGAGGCAAAACTCACATAACCAATGTCTCACTTAGCCACAGAAATGTGGGGCTCTGTTGTCATAAGTTGAGGACTACCTGTGCATCAGTTTTCCCAAAGTGGAGCTTCTCACACTGTTGAGATCATTCAGTGGTCTTAAGGTGACTCGACTCACATGACCAGGATCAGCTAGGGCAGGGATGGTGAATCTCTTTGTTGTGCTGTGCCGAAAGTGTGCACTGGCACCCACAATACAATGCACCCTGCTCCCCCAAGCATGCGTGCGCAACACCCCTCCTGCCCATTACCTGCACTGCACATGCGTACGGCTCCCTGCCGATTTGAGCATTTGAGGCCGCCTTCGCCCTCCTGGAGGCTCGAGGGAAGCCGAAAAATGGGCCCGTTTTCGGCACTTCCGGTTTTTCTAGGGAATTCTGGGAGTTGAAGTCCAAATGTCTTAAAAGTGTAGTCAAGGTTGGGAAACTCGGCTTAATGGTATGTGGCCACCCAGCCAGAAGCATTCTCACGAGTTAAGTGGGCTTCTCCTCTCCACAGTTAGGGATCTTCATCCGATGCCCGTCTCTTTCAGGTTCCTGAGTGCGCTGGCAGTGCTGGCAGAGCGTCCCGAATTGGTAGAAAGGGTCATGATCACACGGACCATGTGCCCCGAGGGGGCCTACCAAGTCCGGCTATGCAAAGATGGCACCTGGACCACCGTGCTGGTAGATGACATGCTGCCCTGCGATGAGTGTGGCTATCTCCTCTTCTCCCAAGTGGGTGCCATGAATTGGGGAAAGGGGCTTTTATCAAGGTGACTGTTGGGGAATGAGAGCTGAAAAATATCTGCAGAGTTTCTCTGTCATCCAGGTCATGGTTGTCCCAGAGGTGCTTCCCCCCGCAACGCCAACTAGGCTGGAGGGGAGGGATCAAGCGAGGGCCTAGCTTGGAATCATGGCAAGCAGTCTGGTGAGATTCTTGTAACATAGGCAGACGCAGGGGTGGGATTCAGCGGTTCAGGCTAGTCCGGGCAACACCGGATGTTAAATTTACACCTGGTTCGCTGAACTGGTACAACCAGCTGGCCTCGCCCACCTCACCCCGCGCCCTCCCAGCAGTCTGTGCGGAGGCTCTGGGAGGGTGGAAAATGGCCCTCCCCGAAGTCCAAAAACAGGCCTGTTTCCAACTTCCGGAAGGGCTCCGGAGCCTGGGGGAGGCCGTTTCTACCCTCCTGGAGACCCGAAAGAAGCCTCCAAACTCTGGGGAAGGTGAAAACGCCCCTCCTGGAAGTTCCAGTGGGCCATGCCCACCATGGCCACACCCACCCAGCAATTGGGCAGAGAACCGGTTGTTGGGATTTTTTTTTTAATCAAGTTTTGTTGAGTTTTAACAAAGCAAATAATTCTTATTTGAATGCAGCATGGTTCCAGGTTATCACATTTCCATACAGACACAATTTCATATGCATATTCATCTTATGTATTCAACTTCATATCTTATTACTCTTTTTTCCAACTTCTCACTATTTTTCCCTTTACTTCTCTTACTTTTCTTTTACGGTTATCTCATTTTCTTCTTATTCAATTGTATTTCTTTTACCTAAATTTCTATACCTTTTCATTCCTTATACTTATACTTTCGTCTGTCTTGTTTACAATTTCCTATGTTCTCTTCCAACATTCTTAAAAAGCAAAATTTCCCCCTATGATTGCCAATCAGAGTGCAACACCTTTAAGTCTTATTGTTATTATCATATTAATCATATCTCATTAAACATTAAATTTGCGCATTCTAAAATTATAACATTCAAATTTCTAATGTCTATTTTATATCCTGTAAATCTCATCATTCAGACTCTGCTTGGTACTTCCCCTTGAAAATGTAAAAAGAAAAATTATAAAAACATAGCAAAAACAATATATATATATATATATATGTATGTTTTCTTAAGTTTTCGCAGGTACTTACATGTATGGCATTCAGCTTTGTTCGGGTATTTTCCCACGTCATTGTAGTTGTGCTTTTAAAGTTATAGCAACGTTTCGGCAGAATCTCATCTGCCATCATCAGGCTTCTATAGAACTGTAAAAGTCTGACTCACAGATGAACACAATACAGAAGCCTGATGATAGCAGATGAGATTCTGCCGAAACGTTGCTACAACTTTAAAAGCACAACTACAATGACGTGGAAAATGCCCGAACAAAGCTGAATGAGATATATATATATATACATGAGGTTCTCGCGGGTATTAGTAGGTGGATCTTTGGTTATTCGGGTTTTCTCCCGCGTAAGATTGGAAGTACCTAGGCAACGTTTCGATGAAGTCTCATTCATCATCTTCATCGAAACGTTGCCTAGATACTTCCAATCTTACGCGGAATTTTTGAATCCCACCTCTGGGCAGATGTCAATTTAGGAGCTATTTAGGAGCATCTTCAGTGTCTCGCACCTGACAAGGAGAGAGGAATCTGTCTTGTTGCCACCTGAATATCCAACTCGGTATCCTTGTCTTCCTTTCCCAGGCTCAGAGGAAACAGCTATGGGTGGCTCTGATTGAGAAGGCCTTGGCCAAACTCCACGGTTCATACTTCGCCCTCCAAGCAGGGCGCGCCATCGAAGGCCTGGCTACACTCACCGGCGCTCCCTGCGAGAGCCTGATGCTGCAGGTCAGCTCCACTAACCCTCGCGAGGAGGCCATTGACACTGACCTCATCTGGGCCAAAATGCTGAGTTCTAAGGAGGCTGGGTAAGACAAGGCGGAAGGGAGGGGCTTCCCTTTTAAGGTTGGAGGAGGACAAAGTCCATATCCCGAGGAGCCCAAGAGAATCCAGCCCCTTGGCCTAGTGCATGTCAACTCATTAAATATTTCTCTGGTATTTTAAGAGTTGCCAGCAGAAAGGGAGGGTGGGAAGTAGTGCATTCCGTCAATGTTTTCGAAGATGGTAACTAGGTGACTGAAGTTTCTGCTGCTGCAAAATTCTAACTGGAGAATATGATTGATGACTCTGGGCTATGGAGGTGTCCCATTGAAGAATATGAATTATGATACACCGTGGGGGTGGGGGAAAACCAGGGTCGAGGGTGACAATGAATGATATGTCTCAGAGTCGGCTACACCCAGATAGCACCGGCATGTCTACTCCTAATAAATCCTTTTTAAGCTCTGAAAGATCTGGCTAGAGGCTCATGATTTAAATAGAGGTGAATACCGGAGCCCCAACAATGCTCTTGACTCTGATTAAGGACAGATAGTCCTCAACTTACGGCCACAGTTCAGCCGACATTTCGGTGGCTTGGCTGCTAAGTGAATTGCACCCCCATTTTTTACGACCTTCCTTGCCGCATTCGTTAAGCGAATCACTGCCGTTGTTAAGTGAGCCCCACAGTTGTGAAGGGAATCTGGCTTCCCCACGGACTTCGCTTCTCAGAAGGTTGCAAACGGGGGAATCACATAAATGCCAGCTGCCAGGTGTCTGAATTTTGATCACGTGACTGTGGGGGATGCTACAACGGTCATACGTGCGAAAAAACATCCATAAGCTACTTTTTTTTTCAGTGCCGTTGTAACTTTGTCACTAAATTAACTGTCGTAAGTAGAGGACTACCTGTAGTCCACCACCCAGATCAGGAAGTGGAAGATGGGCTCTTCCCCCGGGGTGTTCCCTCAAAAGGAGAATCTGTTTCCAGAGACCTTTGCGTCAGTATTGCAATGATCTCCCGCCCCCCCCATGGAAAAATATGTTCTCCCAAAATAATATCTCTTCCCCTACCCCAGTTGAAGACAGTCCGGTGTAGGGTTTTACCAACACCTTTTGCCACACGTGTGGATTAGTCCTAAGAAAAAGGTCACAATATTTGTTGTGTAATTCAAGGATCAGGGAAGCAGGACATGCCTCTATGATCCTGGTCAGCTTTTCCCCCCCCCCTCACCTAATAAACCATGAAGAAATTGAAAAACGTAATATATTTCTGGAAAATGTCGAGGATGAATACCTAACTTCCAAGTCGGTGGAGATTCTCAGTCATCCAGGTCATGGTTGTCCCTTTTTCAAAAGGCAACTGGGTATTCTTTGTTTTTGTTTTTTTTTTCCCCTTGAAGGCGTTTCGCTTCTCATCCAAGAAGCTTCTTCAGTTTTGGCTAAAGAAGCTTCGTGGATGAGAAGCGAAACTGAAGAAGCTTCTTGGATGAGAAGTGAAACTTCTTCAAGCAAAAAAAAAAAAAAAAGTCCAGTTGCCTTTTAAGAAAGCACCCTGGCGACCCCAAACTATCAAATGAGACTGAAAGCCACACCCAGTCCTGGTACCTTCCAGGTGGACTTTAACTCCCAGAATTCTTAGCAGGGGCCAAGATAGCTGTGGAACTGTGGGATTTGAAGTCCACACATCTGGAGGTTGCCAAGGTTGGCAAACACTGGCCTAGATCTTTTGTCTTTTTTCCCTTTTCTCTTCCCTCATCCCATCCCCACATTTTATTCCCGTTTTTACTCTTCAGCTTCCTCATGGGAGCATCATGTGGAGGAGGCAACATGAAAGTAGATGATGCAGCCTATGAAAGCATGGGTCTTCGCCCACGGCATGCCTACTCCATATTGGATGTACGGGATGTGCAAGGATACAGGTAAGCACAGCTACGCTGATGATCCTGGCCCCTCTGCTCGTGGGCGGCTGGCTTGCTTTAAAATTAGGGGTATGTAGATTGAGTCATTTTCAGTCTAGACGTTTGGCAGTTTGAATCTCACCGGGCTCGAGGTTGACTTGGCCTTCCCTCCTTCCGAGGTGGGTAAAATAAGGACCTAGATTGTTGTGGGGCAAGAGGCTGATTCTGTAAACTGCTTAGACAGGGCCGTAAAGCACTGTGAATCAGTATAGAAGTGCTATTGCCAGTGCCCTTCCTTCCTTCCTTCCTTCCTTCCTTCCTTCCTTCCTTCCTTCCTTCCTTCCTTCCTTCCTTCCTTCCTTCCTTCCTTCC